CTCTCTTAGAGATAATAGAGGGGAGATATGATCATGGCCTTTAGAATCGTCAGAGAGCTACACTGCGCTCTTCAGTTTGACGATTTCTTCGAGCAGACGCGGACGACCAATCTTCGAGTGCACAAATGCAAGTTGAAGACAAGGTATACCATGCTTGAAGTGCAGGCCAAATTCTTCTCCCTGCCGGCTGGCTAAAGAATGGAATGATTTTTTAATAATAATATTAAATAATAGTGTATTTTAGGGTAATAGGCAATGCCCTTGATGACTCTATTGAAAACTGTACATAAAATATTAATGTTAAATGTGCATCTTACTAACATTTTGTCAGAAACATATTTGCTCACGGAAATCTTTTTCACAATGTGGGACTGCGAAGGGTGCGGCAGGCGGTCTTCTCAGTGTACATATGAAATTTTAAGTGCAGTTATATACAATCAGCATAAAGTGCAGTCATTTGCATAGTTTAAGAGGAGACATTTCATTAAAAGTCAGGGATGTGTTACACAGGGATGAAATCAAGAAATGAAATTTATGGCTGGCCGCAGATAGTCTTGTTGTCAAAGTCGTCGTTTATCAAAGATCAGACGATCCAGCTGCCTTTTGAATACAGCGATTATATCAGACGTCACTACTTCACTTGGGAGTGAGTTCCGTGGTCGAACAACACGCTGGCTGAAGGAAAACTTCCGATTGTCTAGGCGTGTACGCTCCCACTTGACTTTATACGGGTGACCGCGCAGGTGACTCGTGGTCGTGAATTCAGAGAAGTCGTCAGTGTTGAGCGAACATTCATGCCCGTGGATAATGCGGAATGTCCATAACAGGTCACATCTCATTCGTCTATAGGATAGGGGGAACAAATTTAACTGGATCAGTCTTTCTGGGTATGACAGAGTCCTGAGACCGTCCACCAGTTTTGTGGCCCGTCGTTGCACCTGCTCTATGGCATCACTGTCTTTCTTCATCCAGGGCATCCATGATGGCATTCCGTATTCCCAGTGCGGTCTGACGAACGTGCCGAATATCTGTGAGTATAGTTCTGGAGGAAAAATTTTGAAGGCACGCCTAATCCAGTGCATGATGCTGGTTGCCTTTTGGACAACTCTTTTGCAGTGCTGAGAGGGCAGCAAGTTTGAGCATGTCCAGACAACTAGGTTTTTGTGCGTGTTCACTTCTTTTGGTGGAACCCCATTTATGGTGTACTGATGTTTTGGAAGCGCCTCCGTCCAGATTCTAGTCGCAAGACTACACACTCGGATACGCTGAACGCTAGAAGCCACTTGCTGGACCACGCAGCCAGCTTATTAACATCTTCCTGTAGCTTCTGCGCGTCTTCAATGCAGCTGATTGTTTTCCAGATCTTTATATCATCTGCAAACATGATGCCATCGCATTCAAGGTCTGCAGGACAGTCATTTATATAGATGAGGAAGAGGAGAGGACCCAAGACTGAACCCTGCGGAACGCCGCTTTTTACTGGCACCCATTCGGAGGTAGTGGCACCAACGATGAATTTTTGGAGCCTGCATGACAGGAAACTTTTAATCCAATGAAAAATGCTGCCCTGTATTCCACACTCCCAAATCTTCTGTAGGAGTCGTCCATGAGGGACGCTATCAAACGCCTTCTTAAAGTCAAAGAAGATGACGTCCACTGGACGGCCCTGGTCTATGGCTCTTGTCCACTTTTCCTGAGAGTAAAGACTGCTTGTAAGACAGGAGTGAGCACGACGAAATCCCTGCAGAGCAGCACATAACAGGTCCCTCTGCTCCAGATACGACATTAAATGCCCTTTAATAAGTCGTCCCATTACCTTGCATAGAATGCAGGTTAAACTAATAGGACGGTAGTTTTCGGGTTCCAGCCTGGATCCTCCTTTATAGATTGGAGAAATATGGGCCGTTTTC